TGAAGCTGGGTGAGAGAAAGAAAGATTGCCCTAATAGGATGTAAGTACTTTCTACCAAAAAGATGTGAAGCAGAAAATGTCAGATCAATGACAGGTGCACTCAGGCAAGGCCAGGTAGGGGGCAGCAGGAAGAGGTGAGTCCAGGACCCCTGAAGGCTTATCCCTGGTGACTGATCTAACCACACTTTGGTGCCTGACCTGCCCTTATGGTTTGATCTGAATCTAAACATGGATACCTCCCACTCTTTTCCTTTCTATTACAGATTATTAGGCCAAGTTAGTGTGCACTTTGAGGACACAGTTCTCTAGTTAGAGGCAACTGTGCCCAATTACCTTGCCCTAATGGATACTCCAGACAACCTGAACATATTTCAAGATGCCGTGGGGCTTTGGAACCAATGAGAATATCTCACCTGCCTTTTAGCTTGATCTGGATGAGAGTCATCTTCATGATGTCCCACTTTGAGAGTCTTCCTGGAGAAGGGCAGGACTAAGGTGGTAACTAACTATGTTAGATACTTGAATTTCCAAGTTGGATAAACAAGTGGCTTTATGAAATGAATTATGGCCTGTGGTAACTTCTCCCATTTCCTTGTGGATGCCTTCTGGTTTCATGCCCTATGCCTGCAGTGGAGTTTTGGTTTTTCCAGGGTCATCTCCAAGAGAAAATGTAGATGAAAGGCATTTTGCTGACAGCAAACATCTCTGTTAGATCCAGGGAAATGGACTTTTCTATGACATCTTTCACCAATACTTTAAAAAATGGTATTTCCTTATTCCATTTATATTGTGCAATGATCACTTTATTGGTTAATTTGTTGATTAATTTATTTGATATCAATATTTATTGAGACTATTGTGGATGAGGCAGTATGCTATAAACCCTGGGAGTTCCAAAGATGAATAATGCACAAGGAACTTGGCAGGCAGCAACCCAGAGTCTGCAATTAAAGGAGTAGGGTGGTAAGTTGCAGAAAGTGAAGAAAACCTGCCATTGAGTTCAGAACAGGGATAAATTATTTCGAGTGGGAGAGACCTCTCTAAGGAGGACACATAGAGGATCCAGATACACATGAAAAGATGCTCAATATCTCTAGCTATCAGAGAGATGCAAATTAAAACCACAATCAGATACAACTTTACACTGATCAAAATGGCCATCATAAATACAGCAACAAACAAGTGTTGGAGAGGTTGTGGAGAAAAGGGGACCCTAGTGCACTGTTGGTGGGCTTGACAACCACTATGGATAACAGTATGGAATTTTCTAAGAAAACTAAAAATGGATCTGTCTTTCAACCCAACAACTTTACTGCTAGGATTATATCCTAAGAATCCTGAAACACCAATCCAAAAGAACCCCAATGTTCATGGCAGCACAATTTACAATAGCCAAGAGTTGGAAGCAACCTAGGTGCCCATCAGTAAATAAATGGATCAAAAACTATGGTACATTTATACAGTGGAATTCTATGCATCAGAAAGAAAGGAGGAGCTCCTACCCTTGGCAACAGCATGGATGGAACTGGAAAGCATTATGCTGAGTAAAATAACCCAGGTGGTGAAAGACAAATACCACATAGTCTCACATTTAATAGGAACCTAAACAACAAAACAATCAAGCAAGCAAAATATAACCAAGGACACGGAAATAGAGAATAGGCTGACAGTGACCAGAGGGGTGAGGGAAAGGAATTTCAAGGGAAAAAGGGAAGGGTTTACAGGAACAAGTATAGAGGACACATGGACAAAAACTAAGGGGGGTAGAAATGGGAGGGAGGTGGGGAGCACTGGGGGTGGGCTAGGATGGGAGTAAAAGACAGAAATCTGTACTTGAAGAACAATTAAAATAAATTAAAAATTGTTTCGAGTGTGTGGGGATTAGGACTGGCTGGTACAAAAGGAACTTATGCAAAAAGTCACCTTAAGTTGCAGTGATCACTTCACATCCATTAAGATGGCTACTATTAAAAAATAAAACAGAAAATAAAGGATGCAGAGAAATTAGAGCTTTCGGAAACGGGGACGTTAAATAGTGTAGCCATTATGGAAAACGATATGGTACTTCCTCATAAAATTAAAGGTAGAATTTATCTTCTAATCTAGCAATTCAACTTTTGGGTATATGCCAGAGTATTGAAAGCTGGGTCTCACATCTTTAATTTACTTTATCCCATTCTAGTTTTATTTAATTACATAGGAATCTTGACTCCATCTATCCTTTCAACATCTTTCTACTTCTCTTGCTCTTTTTTTCCTCCCTGAATACTTTATTCACTCATAGTATTAATCACAATAGCTAAATATGAAAGCAACCTAAGTCTATAGCAGAATAAATGGACAAACAAAATTTGGTATCTGCATATGTTGGACTAATATTCTTCCTCAAAATGAAAGGAAATTCTGACACATTGTACCACATGGGTGAACCTTGAGGACATTATTTTAAGTGAAATAAGCCAGTTGCAAGAAGACAGGTGCTATGCAACTGCACTTACATGAGTTTCTATCTAGAGTAGTCAAATCCGTAGGGACAGAAAATACAATGGTGGTTGCTATGGGCCTTGGGGAGAGGAAATGAGGAAAATGGAGTTGTTTAACGGGTATAGAATTTCAGTTTTGTGAGATGGAAAAGTGCTGGAGATTGGTTGTGCTCCAATGTGAACATACTTAATATTGCTGAACTAGATACTTAAAAAGGGTAAAATGATAACTTTTATGCTACATTTATCTTAACCACAATTTTAGAAAATTTGTATTTTATCAGGTGGGAGTGGGTGGAGGATACCTGCCATTTTGGAAAACTTTCCAATTAATATACTGCTCACTCATTCCTTCTCTCATTCAACAATCATGTATTGAATACATGCTATGTACTGGATGCTGAGCTGTATATTGGGGCCACAATATTTGATAAGATTTATAAAACGCTGAATCTGTCAATGTCATGCTTGCTAACCATGCTCTCTCCCTCCAAAAGCACTAAGCTTCTCTAGTTAAATATTCAGAGCTGCTTCCTACTGACTTGAATTATGCATACAAATTATGTTCAGTAAACAAACTGAAGAGGTTTGATGTTCATGGGAGTAGGGAGGAGTTAGACAGCATGATGCTGAAATGGAAAGATATGGGTAACAGATTATGAACTAAACTTGAAGAAGGTGAGTCAAGGCTCTCTACAGATATTAAAAAATAAAGGACTCCTCTTTGAGGCTGCCAACCTAAAAGCTAAGCAATTTAGAATGGAAAAAGATGACAAAGTCAGACACTGTCGACCCAAGAAGCTGGTATTTTGTGAATTTTATGGCAAGTGTGGTTTGAGAACCATGGACACAAAATTTCTGACAATATTAATGACTGAGAAGGGCAGGGAAGGGTTATAAAATTTGAGTTAAAAGGGAAGACAGGGCCTGTGAAGGGTAGGGCCAGGGTCTGCTTATTTGGGTGGGGGCCGGAAGCAGGAAGCACGAGCTTCCTTTACCAGGAGACCCAGGAAGTTCTATCGTTAATTCATTGGATGTTGTCCTAGGGTCTTCTTTTTTAGTTTTATAGAAACCTTTACTCCATCTATCCTTTCAACTCTTTCTACTTCTCTCGCTCTCTTTTCACCCCCGTATACCCTGAACATTCTATTCATTCCTTTAAGTATCTGCTGAGTACCAACTACATACCAGGCATTGTGCTGGGCTCTGGATAGCTACGGTCAATTCTCTTATGCCATCTTTATTTGGTTGCACGTAGTAAATCTTGGATCGATAATAGTTCTTCTATATTGGTTAGATGAGGGATGAACTTAGTCTCATCTACTACTTTTCTTAACTTTTTCTCCCAGTCTTCAAGGTGTCTTTATCGAGGCTGCTCCTTTTACTTGTGTTTTTAATTCCAAATTTCCTGCCTTTTCCCTCTCTGTACCCTCAACTGACTCCTCTGTATTTCCCCCTTGCTTCAGGCCACATGAGACTTTCTAGGGCCTCTGCCATCCTAAAATTTCTTATATCTCTTTGCATTCTTTAGTGCTACCCCGTCTCTCTCTCCCCATTCTCATCAAAGTTCTCAATGCCATGGCCTTTACTCAAGTTCATTTTCTTACATCCCATCCACTTTCCCAGTCACTGGATTTTCTCCTGTGCCCACGCTGCTGAAACTCCTTGCTTTATTAAATCCAACCTCACATTATCAGTCTCCCCTGTTGGACTTTTCTGTCCCATTTGGCATTATTGATCACTCTCTCCTTCTTAAGTTTTCTACTTCCTTAAATACTTTTTAATCCTCAATTTCCTCTGTCCCCTCAGAACTTTATGGCTGCTGATTTTCATTTTTCTTTCTGGGACATGCTTTCTTCATGAAACTTTTAAATGCTGATGTAGTCATCTGTGCTCTGCCCTTTCCATTTTGCACGTTCTTACAGGGGAGTATTGAACATTCACTACTGCCCTTAATAATAGTCAAATTATAAAAACTGATGCCTAGGGTTACTTGGTAACAATGACATAAAAACCCAATCTGTCTTTCTATGTATGTTCTATGTTTTTCATCAGTTCATTGGTGTTGCAAATGTGCTTGCTGTTCAATGCTTTGTCTCCATTTTGTGAAGACCCTTCATGTGGCCCAGAATTGGAAAGAGCGTTGATCTCTAATGGTGTTGAGTTAATTGTGAATCCCTGAAAAAGAATGAATAAGTCTAGTGGAAATCAGCTAATTTCATTTTGTCATTTTCTAGATAATATATTCTGATGTAGATAGTTCGTTTTTTTAAACAAGTTTGCCATAGACAATTTCCCCTCAAGGTTAATATAATAGGCAAACACCTTTTGCTGCGGCAGACAGCAATAGGTAATGAAAGATTAGCTTACATTATGATTCATTATTTCAAAATGTCAGAATAAAGTGGGTCTGCTACATCACCCCAGCCTCTTTTACCTTAGAGGAGAGAGTACATGTTTTGCTTTTCTAATGTTAATACATTCACTGTTTTTTTTTGCCTCATTTGTTTTTTACAGGCCAAATTCAGATCATCGGCGTCAGGGTGGCAGAGAAAGATTGGTCAGCTCCAGTGACAAGGGCAGCCTGGCCATGGAGTCTGCCAAGGAGACACGCTACTGTGCAGTGTGCAATGACTATGCCTCTGGCTACCATTATGGAGTCTGGTCTTGTGAGGGCTGTAAGGCCTTCTTCAAGAGAAGTATTCAAGGTAATAGTGTGTTGAAAATGACATACTGCATTTTTAATCTTCAGATGGGAAGCAGTGGAAGAAGGGAGGCATATAATCAGCCACTCGTACAGAACCTTAAAGCCTCATAGGTCCATTAGTATCCTTGGTAGAAACATAGAGTAGAGACAGGAGCTCAGGGCATTTGTGGTGGAGTTCTGATGCTTTGTCCATTTGGCAAGATCCAGACAGTCTTGCCCAGTTCTACAGGCAGAGGATTTCAACAACTAGATCTCAGAGATGTTGTCTGTGCCCTGACAGGGGGATGGCAGGTGGATATTTATGTGTTGCTGGGAACTAGACTTACATGATATATTGACAGTGTAGTATTAATTGGCTATACATAATTATGGTTCCACCTTGGCTTTGTCCAGATGAGTGGTCTGTTTTGATCTTTGCTCTAGATCAATTCTTATTGAACTTGCTCTTCTCTGGCTCTGCTTCCATCTTTGTTGTTTGAATAGATGACTTGACCTGTTGCTAAAATGAGAAGACCCAGTAACTGGTGACTTGTCATAAGGTCAAGTACCTATCTGTACTGTATCACATAGTTAAGTATCTACCTGTAACATTTCATTGGGCTGGCTATCTGCCTTGATCCTTCTCTTGTGTATAGTTTACCAAATACAGCTTCTCTAATATACTGCCTGCTGCATTTTTCTACTTCAGGAGTGTTTACATTGTTGCATTTAGAGGATACACTGGAGGAAAGAGCAGTCACTTTTATTTAAAAAAATATCTGTACTAAAGATCCTTTGTTGATGGGAATGAGGGTCTGGCAGGAGTTTAGGCTAACTGAATCACCTGTGTTGTCTTAACAGTAGGGCATTTCTTTTCATTTTTCTCTCTTTATTTTACCAGCATAAGCAAAGTTTAGTATATAAATACTAAGTATATTTCCAATGGAATTTTTGTATAGTTCTCATTAACTTTGTGTTGTAGTTCTCCACTGCCCTGATATGGGGTGAAAGCTGGGGGTGATGCACACTATTTATCTTTCCTTCCATTACTAGTAGGATGGACTTTTTTTTAAGCTCTTCACATCTAATAGAGTAGAACATGAGGTCAACTTGGTCCTCTTTAAAAATACTTTTTTGACAATTATTACTTTCAGTGTCTTTTAGAAAATACTGTAAGACTTAGACTTTTTTGTTGGGCTTTAATAAAGTGAATGATATTTTCTGATAGTAAATTTTTGTTTTTATAAATAAATATACATACATATATAAATACCTGTACATATATATGCACATACATGTATATTTATATGTGCATAAACATAAAATATACATATGTATGTAAAACATTATTTAGCTAATACCATCTTTATTAAGAAATATTATATTTATATTTTTATTTAATTTAGTGTGAGCCAATTGAGGTCTTTTGTCAGTCATGTTTATTTGTAGTTTTATTGTTTATTTAATTTTATATAATCTAAAACACCATTATTTATACAAACATCTACTATGACAGTGAAAACTCATCTGATAGTGGTAGGGTTAGTGGATAGGGTCAACTACAAAATTGGACAAGCCATTTATCTGAGACTGAATTACCTCATCAGGAAAAATGATTTGGAGCCTCAGTCAGCCACATTTTTCGGTAAAGGACCAGACAGTAACTGTTTTAGGCTTTGCAGCCTCTGGTACAGCTACTCAGCTCTGGCATTGTGGCCTGCAGGGAGCCATAGACAACGTGTAAACAAATGGTGTGTGCCAATAAAACTTTATATACAAAAACAGGTAACTGATCAGAACTGGCCTGTGGGCCATACATTGCTGACCTTTGATTTAATGTTTAGAAAGAGAATAGATGGTTTCTAAATCTAATGTTGATTATTCATGTTTATTAAAAACTTACTCTGCATCTGTGTTAGACGCTCTCAGTGAAATAAAATATGTGTCAGACACAGTCTATAATGCCACAAAATTTAGAATTTGTTTGGAAAATTTACTGGGGAGGCAATTTTCACAATGTAATTAGAGAGTAACTCAGTATATATAAAGTACTACTATATCATAAAAATAAGAAAAACTATAGATGATTATAAGAAAATATTGTCTGTTACATATGTAAAATTACTGAGATTGAAAGTAGAAGTGACCTTTCTCCAAGTAACAAAAGCAATATTCTCATGGATTATTTTCATCATATTTTTTAAGCATTTGGGAATAAACTAAATAACTTCACATCAAATTTAATATTATCTCTAAGAATTAAGGCATCAGAATAGAAAACACAGAAAAAAACCCCATAAAAATATCAATGAAGGAAATGTGAACTTATGAAATCAACTATTTTATTGGTATGGCATTAACTCAAATTTAAATATTAAAAAAAATTCTGCTTACTCTTCCATAGGGAATAATATATTTCACCTTTATTGTGTGTATATAAATAGTAGGATTTCACTGTACTATAAATTGTACTATATAAAATTATACTACAAAAATCTCATAAAAGTTGAATTTCTACTTATTTATCATGGTATGAAGTCACTTATATAAGATTTTTAAAATGAGATATATATTGAGTCTACAGTTCTGGAAGAAGCCTAGAAACAAGGCAGAGTCTAACCTGTAGACATAGGGAGTAACCTTAAAGATGATTAAATTCACTCATTCATTTATATGTTCATCAATTGCCTCCACTAGGCAAAGCCCCTTGCAGAACCTTGGAGATACAATTATAGGAAAGACATGGTCCTTGCCAGCATAGAGCCTTCACAGTAGTGGGAGAGGTGGACAAAATAGTGGCAATTAAATTACAATGTGAAAGGTGCCAGGATTAGGGTGAGTGCAGGGTGTTACAGGAGTCCAAACTTCACTCAGCCTGGGAGAGGTGAAGTCAGGCTCTGTGGAGATTTCCTGATTTAAACTTGGGCCTCTAGAATTGGTCAAGTGAGGAAAATAAAGGAGGAGATGAGTATTTAATCACAAGAGTAAGCATATGAGCAAAGTCCAGGAGGTAAAATAGAGTTTGGGGAATTCTTTGGATAAAAATTAACAAAAAAATACCCCTGGCCAGGTAGCTTAGTTAGTTGGAGTCTTATCTCATACACCAAAAAGTTGTGGGTTCGATCTCCAGTCAGGGTACATACGTAGGTTGCAGGGTTGAGTTGCAACTAATCAATGGAGGCAACTAATCAATGTTTCTCTCTCACATTGATGTTTCTCCTTCTCTCTCTTTCCCTTCTATTCTCTCTAAAATCAATAAAAATAAATGTTCCTCAAGCAAGGATTAAAAAATTAACTAAAAATATACCATTAGATTTAAATGAAGATATTTCTGGGCCAGGTGTTTATTGCTAGCCTATGTAAAAACAAAGTTATTTATTTGCTTTTACTTTAATGATGTTTTCATGTGTTTAATTCATTTATGCACATAAAAGGGAAAACACCATAGCAAGTTTAATGGTTTTTAGTCCCATTTTCTCACCATATCCTTGAAAACTTGCAGCTAAAACATTTTGCTGAATTTCTTTGGTTGTTTATAAATTACACTGCCCCTCAAACCTATTTAAGGACAGTGAAGGGTCTAGCATGCAGGTAGAAAGTTCTGAAGATGCTGTGGCTCTCCCTGTTTTTGTTGTTACTTAAGAAAAGAGCTAGAAATGAGTATCCATCAGATTACTCTAGTGCTCTAAGTGTTTCAGTTGAAGAGGTAAAGTGTTTGACTTGAAAGCACATAAATTTTTATCTACTACTTGGTGTACAAACGATTATTCAAAAAATTGACTAATGGTCTTCAGTTGAACATACTTTTTTTTAAAAGAAAGCAATGTCAAAGATGCTACTTAAGGGAGAGGGTTAAAATTAAATAGTCTATTAATTTATTAATCATTGCAGGTGAAGAAACTGTATTTCTTAAGAGGTGTTGTAGGTAGACACTCTTGGAGGAGTTATATAAGCAGATTTGGTTCAGTGGACAGGTACAACCTTTGAGTATTATTCTAAGTTAAAGGACTCCACTGAGCCCACTGATTCTCTTATATATTATTCCAAATTGTCACGAGCTACAGGGAATTCTCAAGCCCATATATATAGCAAGGGGAATATGTTCCCTTTGCTATGCTGCCACTTCATATTCTCTAAGGCATATAGAGCAGACGCTTAACATTAGATCAAATAGACATGGCCCAGACAAGGTGCTGGCTTAAAGGTTAGCTAAGTCCAGGAGCACATGGTTTCAGGGTGGAGTCTGGTTATAGTTCAATGTAGTGGGGGCCTTAAGTCCAACAAGGATTAGGATGACAGCCCGATCCACTGGGCCTCAGAAAGTATCAGGGCGAGACAGTCCAGCACCCTGGATAGCTCCTTCAACAGCTGCTGAGGGTGAGCAGAGACTTATTTTTCTGAAGAAATTTAGGCCCATTCAGCTGCCTCCATTTGCTTTGTAGAGCTCTATTAAAAGAGAATTTAGCTCTTTTATGCTTAGGGACTCACCTTTGTTCATTCATTATAGATTATTTTTTATCCTCACCAGAAGATATGTTTACTAATTTTGAGAAAGAGAGGGAGGAAGGCAGAAAGAAAGAGGAAGAGGGAGGGAAGGAGAGAGAGAAACATCAATTGATTGCTTTTTGCATGTGCCCCACCTGGGGATCAAACCTGCAACCTAGGTATGTGCTCTGACCAGGAATCGAACACACAGCCTTGTGGTGTGTGGGACAATATTCCAACAGACTGAGCCACCTGGCCAGGGTGGATTAGTTTTTACATTTAGCTTCCCATGTTTAGTTACTTTCTGGCTTGCTATGTAAACTCATGAATGGAAAAGGCCAGAGGATGGCAGAAGTGGAGGCTCCTATGTTGTTATGTAACTATTTTATCTATGGAGTCCTTTCAGAGATATGGCTCAAGGATTGAGATCCCAGCAAAATGTGCACACACAAATACTAAGTGACTCCCAAAACTTCCCCTTGCTTCTCATGATAATATATTATTACAAGAGTTCCCTGGATCTTACGAACACCTTAT